CTATGCTGTCCTCAGCTTCTGGTACCACCTCCTTTGGAGGCCGTCTTGGATGTCCCCTGGCTTACACCTGATACGATAACGGTCACAGGTACCTCTTCCATCCACAGTGTCACCCGTGACTCTGGATGGTCGAGTACCGGGAGCCTTGTAACAACTCTAAATATCACCTGTGTCTTAACCCAAGGGCTCATTAGAAGCGGCCACAGTTGGACGCCCGCCAGTCGCGCTCACGCTGGGCATCTGCGCCATAAACATGTCGGGCAGCGGCATGACACTGGCACAGCTGCCTACCGTGTTCACGCCGCCTTGGAAGTTTTTAATTACTAGCCTCAATCGAATCCTGGAAGGATTAAAAACGGAGTAATGGTTTTTTATGGACAAATATTGTGCGCTTTTCGGGTTTCGGATTTATTAAAAGCAGCCAGAATAATGTTTTTGTCTGACTTTTACTCTATTAGCTTAGGTACTGGTGCGTGGACGTAAGTTTTGTTTTTCTTAGGGTTAGCAGATTTAAATGCTGTCTTGAGTTAAAAGAACAGATCATACTGTATGTGTACTAGAATATATCGTACAGCCAAAGTGAAAGCCGAGTGTTTCTTTCCGCCTTCTGTTCTGAAAATTAAGTAATGGTTCTGCGTTTATTTTGCGGGTGGTTTTGCGTTTATTTTTAGAGCAGCTTTAAGAAGCTGTCCAAACCAATATTTCATAAATACCGTCTTCTTCGCAGTCGCGGATATGCTCGGTCGCTTTTACAGAGAATTTTAAAGATTGACACCCCCTGGGGGGTTGCCCCTCAGCCCCCCCCCCCAGGGGGCGCAGATTTTTTAAACTTTGAAAAGCATATACAAAGATTTTGTGTGTATTGTGAATGACAAACGCTGGACATAAGGTTATCGCAACGATACACAATGTGACGTATTGCTGGTAATTTTCGTAACTTGAAATCTTATCGTTAGCATATTGCCCTGTATAACAAATAGCCAACTGGATAGCCTGAGAAAACATAATTCCATAGTAAAAATTAGTAAAGCAGATGGAACTAAAAAATTAACGATGCACGTCATTAAAATAAGCAGAAAGCAGTTAGAGCGAAACAAGTCTTTGAAAAGGTTGCACGCTGATACAAGGCGCTCTATGTACACGAATGGATTTTCTGGTTTAAGCCCACTTTAAACTGTCGCACTTTAGCCACGCCCCAGCCTTTAGCCACCACGCCCCAACGCGTTAAACCAAAAAATCCATGCGGGGTTGCCGCTACTACTCGAGCCAACGACAACTCAGCCTTTAATACCTGAGATGTACAGAGTAATGATTACGTAAACTGCTGACAGTGCGTTTCGCGTAGTTCAATGAAACAAATAATATTTTAATACACATTTTTAATTTTATTTTTTAAATCGCGGACCCCCTCGTCTTTTTTAATGCATTTTTCGACTTTCAAAAGATTGACAGTTTTTCCCGTAAAGTTTGACATAAATTTTTAAAGTTTGACACTTGTGTCTAATAATTGACACTATTTTAGGCTCTGCCGGCTTTTAAAAACTTCTCTGCCCGCTATAAGCATCTGCAGTGTGTTATCTGTAATAATGTAATCATTCCGTAATTTCTAACATAAAAGTACATACAGCACTGTATTCAGCGCGAAGTTTGCGCTGTGATTCTGTGAATGATTGTCGGTCACTACACTACCACAAAACCAGATACCCCTCTCAATAATTAAGGCCATTATAAAGGAGCAAAGTTAATATTAATACTAGGAAAAATGCACGTTGGCGTGCATTTGGCAGACCGGAGCGCAGCGTTTTATTAGTGTTCTGTATAATACATTTTAATACTGCGACTTAGCAACATAAGCATGCACTTCCATTTTCTCTTTGGAAATGGCTTTCGTAACAACCTTTCGTAACAACCTTTCGTAACGACCTTTCGTAACGGACAGAAATCAACGAAAGTATTAATGCTGAATATAGAGGACCTCCGCTACGCTCCGGTCGATTAAGTTTAATACACTTCTGAAGTATCACAGTTAGTCATAAACATAAGCACAAGATAAAGATAAATAATTATTATTATAAGCGTATTACAGTATGACGTATGTGGCGCGTCTTGTCAGGGAGTTCAGCGTAACCGGTGAATAATGTGAATTTGTCTCTTTCGGTGTATAAATGTGACGCATTTATACCCGATTTTTTTTAAAAAACTACAAGACAATTACGGAATAGGTAGTTGCAACTTGGAAGAAATAATCAGTACATAGAAGAGACGCGTCATCGTAATAGGGCGCTGTCAGAGGGAGAATGACCATTACAAGTGCAGAAAGGATGTCTAAGGTCACTCTAAGCTATATGCGTTAGGTGCGAGTTGTCTGAGTGGAAATGCGTATACTTGCGTTCGCATTGTAGGGGCAGTGCACACGTTGAAGGGGCTGATTTTCTGTACACAAACTCTGTGGTACAACTTCCTCGAGCCGCTATATTTATGCGTACAACAAGATAATACTACAGTTAATGCACTTTACTATAATGTAACAGCATGGGCTGTTGGGGCGCAGTACAGTGGGCAGTGTTGGACAGTAAAACGTTGCGGACAAGTTCGTCTTGACTACATTGCAGTTGCTTTGGCGTACGAATTTTCGTCGTCGACAAAATGGCGGGTTACCCGCGAAAGAGCAATTAGTTTTCGTGCACGTACTGGACACGAATGTGCCAATACAGATACTATGCATATACCAGGTGTATTTTCGGTCAAGCTGTTTGTTTTCTGTCTTTTCTCACCAGATCTTAAGGCCACTTCTATCATACCCTTTCCAAAATAAAGTTTCTGTGTAAATACATTTCACTTTTCCATCCAAAAGATGGGAGCTCCCATCTCGTGAATGGCCAACGTCAATAGTAATACATTCACAGACCTCCACCTCAACTGGAGGCCACAGCAATAACGGGCCGCTCACGTCTGCCCGTCCTGTTGGATTGGATGCCAGCAAAGCAGCCGATGAGATGGTGCGTTCCATCACTGGTGGTTACACCGTGATACAAGTCCTTCTAGCGCAATGCATGTGGGTCAGCTTCAATCCACTCATCCGTGTGACTTTTCGAAAACTGGCCCCGTGTTGAAGGGAGGCGCAAAACTGTGCAGGTACCGCATAACTTTAAGAACGCGTTTGACTGCTTTTCTAATGCAGTGTTGTAGATCGGCGGCTGAAGAAGGAAATGTTGCGAGCTGACCTTTATCCTGCGAGACAGAAGGTCTGTATGACGTACTGTAGAATCTGGAAACGGTTTAATAGCGCTCCGGCCGCGCCTTCTCAGTTCTACAGCTCCATAAAAACGGGACCTTGTCCTGTCCTGAGCGCGCTAACCCTGACGCAGCAGTAATTTAACGGTGACCTTCGGGAATAACTTCCGATAATCCCGCGGCTGCAGCTGCTGCAGTCGGCGACTGGGATGGTCGGCTTTGGCTGTGTTTCAGCTGTGGTTAAGGTACCCGATAACGAACTGACCAGGGCACATTTTCCTGTTGTAAATTTAAACAAATCTCATCTTTTGTAAAAAGGCCGCAGTATGTTGAGAAAGATTATATCATCTGCCATGGTCGATAGGGCGTGGCCAAACAGAAATGAAATGAGTATCATAATTCACACATAAATAGTACTGCGAATAACAGTCCAGTACCACTCTAGATTTTCGGCATTTTTTATTTTGCGCGCTTTGCATTAGATATGCCCATGAACCGTTTCAAAATTTTCAAGCACGGACTTGGACGATGCCACCGCTGCTTATTGTGAATTTTTTAAAAAAATTCGTTTAGTATTGGCCATCTGTAAACAACGCTTTATGTACGAATACCTATACATGTATATCACTACAGATCAACTAAATAAAGTATTTCTACCAGCGTCGGCATAAAACCAACGCGCGCTTAATTCACGTCGAAGCTGTTCATGGCATATCTAATGCAATGTCCAGCACTGAATTGGACGATGCCAAAATAAAAAATTCCGAGAAATCTGTACTTTAGTATTGCAGTGCAACACTTTATCGTAGTGTTACTACTGTATATGATAATCATCTGATTTTTGTTTGGCCGTACTCTATCGATCATGGCAGATGAGAAATGATTCACTTTTTAAACTTACTACGGTAGTCAACAATCTTTTTATAAGACGAGATTTTTTAAAATTTACACCCAGAAAATGTGCCCTGGTCAGCAAAGCACACAGCAAAGCATTTCCTAAGAATTCTGCATAACACACTGAGTGCATATAAGCGTTCTGGAACAATAACGAAATAAAACGAAATGTAACTATCAACCATAGGAAGCGAGCCGGATCGAGATGGCCAGCGATCTCGAGAAAAAAACTTTTTTTTACCATTATGTCCGTTATGATGTTATGTACTGACAATGAGATACAATTTACAAAACGCCCGAGATTGCTGCCGGTATGATGGAAATTACAGTGTTCACTCGCGTTTCTGATAAAGCAAAATCACTCTTAAATTCTAAAATAAATTATTACTAGGACCGTATTTGCCCTCTCCTTGGTCCGGAGCCTTGGCCACCAGTCACATTTTGCTCGCGGTTTGTCGGAAACATTTCAACATAATTATACGCATTAAGGTTGGACTAAGAAACACATTTTAACAACCATTGTTCTGTTACAAAATGTTTACAATGCTGTTAGCCCAAAAAGACTCCATTGCTGCCACAGATACAACGTATGTTTTTAGGCCGTGGAGTATGCCAGCTTGTGCTCCGCGGGGAGAAGTAAACATTTCGCGACATCTATTCTGGCTGTCAATTATACGTACTGTAATTATTTTGAAATTAGAACATACTGTATATGCCCGCTTTTCTGTTTAAGATATTTTACTGCATGCACATGCATTTAATTTTTGGAAACCTGTAATAGTTTGTGTCGCCATTGCTGGTTATTATTATGTTGTCTTGCACAAAATATCCCGGAAAAATTTTCTGGGCGCTTGTTAAATCCTCCGATTAGCCAATATAAATATGTTGAGTAAGGGTACACTTTGTATACAATGTGCTGCAAGATACCGCCGCGTACAACTACAGCAGTGAAGTGAGCATAATTTATCTAGCGTCAGCTTGGGAGAATAATAACTGTTGAAATCTCCAATGACACACCACATAACCGCCGGTTAACGACGCCGACAACCGGCGTATACACTCGACGAATGTCAGTTTATTCGCTCTCGCGTAATCCGCACCACATCAACACGCTTGCATAATGCTCAAGGCACGGGTAAAAATAAATCACGTGACACCGTTACGCCGCCAGCAAGACGGCCAGTCCGGTGAGGAGGCCGGACGAGAGGAGCGCGCCGGAAGCGGAGGTGGACTTGGCGGTGACGACGCCGGCCGGGGCGGAAGTGGCCGCCGCGCTGCGGGATCCGAAGACGCTGCCGTCGGCCAGGACGAGGCTGGTGGCGCCGTTGCAGTCGTCCGTGGAGCACCAGCACTCCACCGTGGCCTCCTCGCTCTTGGCCGCCACGCAGGTGACGCCATTGTGCCGTTTATCTTGGTAGTGCTTGGTGGTGTCGGTGTGGGCGCCCGAGAGGATGTTGCGGCCGCATCCGCGCGTAATCAACAAATCTACAATATCCAAAATTATTATTATTATTGTTACGGCACCAGAGCAGACAACCCGGGCCCAAAGGGACTTCAAGTCTGGTAGAAAGCGCATGCACAAAGTAGGTTTTTCATATTAATTAAAAAGTACATGAATTACATGAATTTTTTCGAAAAAGTTTTCTATGAAATGGTCGTCTTTTTACATTTAATTTTCAAATTCTTTCTCAACTTTGAATTTTAAAGGCCTTAATTAAGGGCTTTAAAATTCAAAGTTTAGAAAGAAACTGCGCTGCTTAACTGCATGGTTAATTTATAAGTTAACATGCAGTTAAACAGCACAGTTTCGTACAAATAAATCGACATGAAAAAGCATATACTCTGTATCAGAATTAAAAAAGGAAACTGTCTGGAAAATATGCAGTGCTTTCGGCCGAAAAAAAAGCCAATCAGTGAATACTCTAAATAATAACATAAATAATAATCGATATAAATAATAATAATATATAAGTAATAAATTAATAATCACTGAATAATATTAATTTTAAAAAAAACCGGCTAATATTCAGTACGTAGCGCCGGTAGCGGAGAGATAGGTAAAAAATTGGAGGTAACCACATATAACTGTGCTGTTAGCCGGTATTTAGCGCGGCTTACGTTCGGTGTCCTTGTCATCCTTGTCGGCGCGGAAGTGGAAGGCGGACACGGAGCAGACGGTCTCGCGGGCGTTCCCGCAGACCACCGACTGCTGGGCGGTGACGTTCCAGCAGGCCGTCGGGTGCAGCGGGTCGAAGTTGCACTCGTAGCAGCGCAGCGCCACCGCCGCTCCTGCAAAAAAGGCATACGCATTAGACGTCCACCAAACTAACTACTGCAATTCAATACAATTTACAAAGACAAGTATTTATAAAAATAAATACACGTAATAATAAGTACACTTAAAAATACACCAAGAAAATACATAAAATATAAGACTCCAGTATTTATTAAATATATTTTAAAAATCAATACCTGTACAATCGTCGTGAGTTTTGTTAATTTTATAACATGGTACCGTAAAAAAAGATGCTTTTATAAACGTTGTCCAATCATTTTTATTTTTTTAAATTACTTTAATTACATATATTTATATGTCTATCATATATACGCGATTAATCCCCGTAAATCAACATATAATGACCGCTACTATATATACTTACCCAACAGCTTGCAGAAGATAAACAGTCCAATAGTGTACAGAGAAAACATGTTGGCTGCTTGAAAATGGACACTGCGAAAAGAATAGTCTGTTTGTCTGCTGGCTGCGGCGCTTATCAGTGTAATCCGGCGATGCAGGCGTGCGGAAAGCGGCGGATCGGCAGCCGGAAGAACGGGTCGGCCTGAATGGATGTTGTTGCCAGTAGAGAAGTGCTTCTCCGTTCTCAGTTGCTCTTGGCGGCGCACATCGCGCCCGCGGCAATTTTTACATTTTCTTGTTGCAGACCGGCCAATGGCAAGACAGCGGAACAGGCCGACAGCCGATCGCCGATAATTAGATGGATGCTTCTTCCTGGCCGGCGTATTACACACAATTATGCGATTATATATACGAACGAAGAAGGCAGCCGGCGAGAATTGACTATCTCGTCGAAAGCGGCTGCAGTTTATTTATAACGTTCTGGCGATGGCGCAACGCCAGCCACTGATTAATGAGACTGCCCTTTACGCGCTTGCTGTAAAAATAAACGTAGAAAACACCCCGGACGCCCTATAACATGGACGACGGCAAGGATAATATGGGGTTTTTTTAGTCGCACGCTGTGCATTTCCGTGCAGTATGATTATTATCAAGTGTACGGATGCATAAACCAGTCTAAATAATTACTGATAGCGTACACTGATTCACCAGCAGTTTCTTTAACATCGGTTAATAAGAAAAAACCTGAAAAAACCGCTGATTCCAGTAAATTCCTTGTAATGTAACGGTTAGATTTTCTTACGGTTACACCTCGCTGTAGAGTCGATCGGCACGCTTCCTGTAGCCCGACGGTACCTGTTCCGGGCGTGGCTGTGCGGCGTCCTCCCAGGGCGGATGACATAATGACGTTATTGGTCATGCGGGCCTCTGCAACGCAAAAGCTTCTGAGGAAATACCTTTCTCAGCTAACGTGAGCTTTATTTCACTGAAGAGTTTAAGCGGAAAATTTAAAAAGCAGGAAAAACAGGGACTTCCGATCCTTGCAACAGCTGCAACCGCCCGGTGTGGCAGCATAAATGCGGTTGTTGTCTTGCCAGTTTTTCAGCATCTCCTTTCTTTTCCTTTCTGATTTTCGTTACGAAAAAGAAATTTTTATTGGCAGTTCTTTCTGTTAAAGAATGCAGAATAAATCATAAGAAAGGAGTTTCTGTTGCAGTTGCTTAGCATGGAGCCAGCTGATGCGAAATCAACCGACCTGCGTTAACGGCGCACTGAACTATGCAACTTAAATCATGGCTGGCGTCTGAGCACGCAAGCTGGCACGAAGCACGTTCCAGGTAGATAATACAAAATGGATCTCATTAACGTACAGTAAAACCTACCTCTACATATATGTAGAGGTAGGTTTTAGGAAGATATATACACTTGGTAAACAAAAACACCTGAAAATTAAATACGGTGGAACCTGAACCGGCGCATCCCGTAGACTATAACAAAGGGGGGAAATCCTGTACAGTGAATACACCTGCATGATTGGGTTACATAAGAACATGAACTGGCGGTTTTTTAAAAAATCGTCTGAACACTGGCATGAGATCGGTTAAACGTTTTTTCTCCCGCTTTGTGATAACTATGCTTATCGTGAACGACCGCATCAATACGGTAATTTCAAACATTTTCTCCAAAATCAAATCATTACGCTTTCGTTTGTCCATGATGCCTGATGGTTAATTCTTTAACGGTATTTTGGCTCAAAGACAGCCAAAAAACTAAACTTAACCATTTTTATCTGCTTGACGTAGTCGTTGTTGACGTAGTCGAGTTCAGCCACTTACAACACATTGAAAACCGATGCTTCGCTGTAATTTTGTTTGATTTGATCAGACTGTATGTAGCCAGCAGGTTGTTATGGGTATTTTGTATCTGGTTAAGAGCAAAAGTAATCTTCGTTTCTTCTAGATAATATTGTTAATATCACCAGGATTCGACCAAATTCGGGCTTACCATAAAACTTTACATGAAGTACTCCGGGCAGCAGCTGTCTGGAAATAGCGACTCTGTTGAACACCTCCCCGTACGACATTGCCGTGCATACATTACTAGTAGTATGTGAGAATAATCATGTTTTTATTGGGTATGATTAAAATTTGCTTTGATTTTCCAACGGCCATTTCCGTAATTATATCGATGCGTGATCGCGGAATTTGTCATGCTATCTCGATGCCATCCTATTCGCGAACTAATCGAGCGTAAGTTTAACATAACCTTTCCCACCGGCTTGCCAACGCATGTCCTGCTCTGCCGTTTGTACTGCAACTGAAGCAGTTAATGCTGCATATCGTAAATTAATTCAGATCGTTATTAGTTGTTAAATCATTAGCGCATGTAATTTAGAAATTTTTTGAGAATAGTGCGTCGACTGAACACGTTTTATTCTTCCCGTTTTGAGTATTCCTACGCTTTTGCGGAAGAGCGGAAGGCAGGTACATTTCTGACCCACTAGCATTTGGAACTCACGGACCTTGCAGGAAATCGGCTGCCCTTTTAGCGAACGAACTCGGAAAGCGAATGCAGCAGCACACAGGCGAACCTCGCTCACTCGAATTTCTACGCCAACGCCGGACGATGGAAATTCAACGGGGTAACGCGGCTTCCGTACTCGGAACCATGGATGGAACGGAAAGCTTGAAAGAAATTTCCAATCCAACACATTTCTCGCTTAAGGAAATTCTGCTTAAGCGAACTATCAACATTTCCTTAGACCATAGACACTACAAAACTGAAAGTAACGTTGGATGCCATTAGAAAAACGGCTTCTCTGACTTCAGCGAGCTGTATCTGTAGTTTTATGTACCATATGCAAAAATGTGTGTCTTATCATCTGCGTACCTGTTTACAAAAATTGTTGCATTACTAAACCGTTTCCCTGTTTTAACCAGTTTTTCAGGGATTTGGCCAGGTATATAACACCAAATTCCTGTACATTTACGGCAACTTTTGCTGCCGCGCACTCCCAGGTCCCTTTTGCATCGCCTTATGTTATTTTGTAGGCAGAGGATTTGTTCACTTAGGCGTGCAATCAGTTTGCGCGCGCAACATCCGGTTGGAAAGTTATGGGTGAACCAGAATTCCAGAAAGTTTAAATGCATTCAGGTGCACCAAAAGTCTGGTTATGGAGCCATCTCCCTCAACGTTTGCGCGTTAATGCACATAACCATGAAGATTGTTTTTACACCGATCCAGACTTCCATGATGTTTTTCAGATTTTAAAAAGAATCTCAAAATTTTTGAAATCAATTTTAAAATTTGTAAAGCATGCTAGGACAGTGGATCGGTGTGAAAACGGTCTACAGATACGTGGTTATGTGCATTTACAAGCAAAACTTGAGAGAGATCGGTCCATAATCAGACTTTCAGTACACCTGAATGCATTTAAACTTTTTTGGATTTTCTAACAGCCATAACTTCCGAACCGGATGTTGCGCGCACAAACGGTTTTCACGCCCGTGTATACAAATCTTCTGGCTACAGAATGTCATAAACCGAAACAAAAATTTGGAAGGGCGCGAAAGTTAAGGTTTACGAACATGTTCACGAATTTGGTACCATGTACCGGCCCACTTCCCTTATCGTTAATTCACTTTACAAATTTGTCAAATGGCAGAACTAGCTCTTCAAACGCGTCATTCCTCTCGCACGATGTGAAGACCACCGTATAATTAAATCATCTATATTTTACTTTGATTCTTTCCATATATTCCTGTGAGCTGCGAGATTAAAAATCTCACACAATTTGACACAATCACCATTACAAGATTAACAGAAACACTAAAACAAGCATCCCGCAATAGATACGACCATATGTATATTCCTATACTTTGACAATACGCATCAGACAAACCGTTTAGCATTACCGAATAAGAAAATAAAGCGTAATAATTATGGAGCTGTATGACATTTTCGAATTCCAGCCAGCCGGAATAAGTCGTTGCAAATGAAAGCAGTCATGGTTTTGCGGAGCGCTCCTTCCGGAAATAGCGCAAGGAAGGCTTCACGGGGAAAGCAGTGATGAGAAAGCACGTCGGCTGGGCGTAATCGGCTAACGGTGGGTTTGCAGTGACCGGAGGTACACATCTTGGGTAATCCGTAACGGCACCGTCAAGCGGCGAATATTGGAGATAGCAGGAAGGTCTCCAGGATCGTTAACGATAATTATTACGACAGTCAAACGGGTAAAGCTCTCGGGAATCGAAGCACAGAACACAACCATACGACAGTACTATGCGCTAAGATAAATCATAAACTTATGGAGCAGAAGACGTATCATGCAAGTTTCTCGTAGAAGACAGACATCGAGACAAATATTTGAGCAATGTCTATTTTAAACTCGCAGTTTACAATTCTTACACGGCGCGTAAACCGTACAACTGCTCAAGGATTCTTTGTTAAATGTCATTTACCGCGAACTCAACGATGAATCCATGCCTCCAGGTAAAGATCACATATGGCTGTACGCTGGTGGTGGCCCGTTAAGCTCCTTCGAATGGACGCAAACTAGACGCTCGTGCTCTTCCTTGGAGGACTTGCGACCATCCGCGTTCAGAGTAGCCGACTTCAGCTCTTTGCGGATGGATTTACTTTGCCGAATGATGACGACCACCACAATGAGACAGGCGATCTGTAGCAGAACCGCTGCCAGCATGACCATCTGTCCGGTGAAGTCGGCCTGGAAAGCCTGCTTGACTGCACTCCACGCGTCCGGTATCGGTTTGGCCACAGTGTCAGGTTTGGGAAACAAGACGTCCAGTCTGGTGGACCAGATAAGGTCGTTAGCGGCGAAGCCGACCTGGCAGAACCATGCGAGAAGCAAGGCCACCAGGCACGTGCCGGAGCCCACTAGAGCCGCAATCTGGCACAGTCCAAACTCCCACGCGGGAATGTTACGGACACCTTCACCGAAGAAGCCGCAGTTTCTCTGGCCACGCAATAGTCGCACACTGGCTAGCATAAACCGGGCACCGCATACCACCTGTATTCCGTATAACGGGATGGAAATGACAAAGATCAGCGTTTGTCCCATGGGAACACTCTCGTCCGCAGCGAAGATCCCTGTGAAACAATATATAGCAGATTCTGCCGAGTGATCAAATAATGTTTTGCAGAGAAAATCAAGCTATTGTGATATGCGCATTTTAAGGTAAAATTTCGATAATGGGAAAAATATTCTCGGGAACGCGTTGTAAGCGAAATTTTTGGAACGATCCATGAAATCGAATATCACTGCCGGTTCAATACACTTTTTTTTCTTACCAATTTGTTTTCACTAACACAGGCACTGCTTATTTGGTATTCCTATTACCATCTGTTTTTCACGAACTCAGAAATTATTTTATGCTGTTGTTTACCAATATTTAAGCTCCTTGATGTGTTAGCAGTGCAGCAATCGAAGGGGACGACAATGTACTGTAGTACTGTAGACGATCTCCAACTTCGTACAGGAATTATTATTATTGAAATTGCAGCCGGCTATTCCGTGAATTCAAGGTAATCATCACATTCGACAACACAGTAACACCCATGCGATGTATTTATATCGAACACGTTCTCACACAGCAGCAAGGACCACACTTCACATGTACGGTAGTATGCGTTTAAGCATTATTAAGGCTATCTAGTCATGAGTATGTACTTACTGCCAAACGATGAAAGCGAAGACCGGTGCGGCATGTGATCGCTGTCATCATTGCAGCAGAGTTTTTTACATAGAGTAGTGCCCGGCTTTACATGCAGATGATGTCAGTGGAAATTAGAATAGTGCCAGCTGTTATTATTATTATTCATCGTGGAGCAGGTAGCCCATTTCCGGCTAGGGTGACATTCTAGCAGGGATTTTAAACCTGGCCAAATAGCAAAATCGAGTGCAGACAGACAGAAAAGACTTCTTAAACAAAATTAACACGGTTCAAAGCTTGCTTAAAGGCACCAATAGTACGAATATCAAACAGATCAGAAAAATTAGAATCAACAAAAAATGTCCACAATTTATTAAGTTTCCAAGCAAAGGTCGTCTCGCCAACTTTCTTCTTCGCTTCCGCCTTGATCAGGATGCGGTTTCTATTCCGAAGATTGTACGGCTTGATACGGTCATCAAATTCCACCATCTCAGAGATGTACTGCGGCACATGGAATTTTTCCGGATGTTTGATCTTGTACAACCATATCGCTTCCTTTTGTTTCCATCTCGTGAAAAGCGGTACGATCCCATGTTGGTTCATGAACGATTCCGTGGGTATCTTTGCGTAGTTTGCAGCCGCTCGGACGCCGTTACGATGCATTGCGGCCAATTTTTCCCGCAAGCGCACAGATGCCCCGCTCCACACTGTAGAGCAATAGTCCAGATGAGACTGAACAAAGGCATAGAAAAGCGCAATGCGTTGGGATGTTGGCAGGCCGACTTTAACACGATTTAACAGTGATATACCGTACCGAACATTCTTTTGGACCTTTTTAACATGATCAGCCCAACTGAGATGTTCATCCAGTATCACTCCAAGATGTTTCACTGACTTTTCTGGAAGTAATTTATGACCGTTCAGCGATACGCTTACGTTGTTTTCGCGGTTATGCGCTGAGCTTATTAGTAACAAATTTGATTTTTTCTCGTTGACGAACAACCGGTTGGAATTAAGCCACTCACAGACTGCCGGTAGTGCTTCAGTCAGATCATTTGCTGCATCCGCTTTCGTGTTAGCAACAGCATAGCAGATGGTGTCGTCAGCAAAGCTTTCTAAGTGCACGTTTGTTAGCCGCAGTTTCAGTAGGGCATTAATGTAAATTGTAAATAAAATGGGACCAAGTATAGACCCTTGCGGAACGCCTGCCCAAACATGTTCCCACGAAGAGAACTTCAAGCCATGACGTACACGTTGCGAGCGACCGGTCAGATACGAATAAAACCATTTTAACGCTGAAGACTTTACTCCTATATCGCGGAGTGTCTCCAACAGAGTCAAATGGCACACTGACGGAAAAGCTCTTTTCAAATCAAGAAAAACAACTGCAACACACTTTTTGCTATCGACAGCCTTTTTCCATGTCTCCGTCACTTTTAACAGTAACGTTTCACATGAATGGCCGTTGCGGAAACCGGATTGGTTAGGCGCAAGAATGCCTTCTTTTTTCAAAAATTTGTTCAGCTGCAGTTGGGCGCATTTTTCAAACAATTTTGACAAATTACACAAAAGTGAAATAGGACGAAATTCATCCGGTGTTGTTGGATGAATAGTTTTTGGTAAAGCGATTACATCCGCCAGTTTGAAAATTGACGGTGAGTCACATCTTTTGCGCGGTGTGTACTCCGTTCGAATCTTCATAAATAATTATCTTTTTTGCAGAGTTAAAAACAAGTGGATTTTATTAAGCAACGACTGGGCAGATGGTTCATCGTTAAAAAAGCTTGACGGAAAAGAACAGAAAAGTTAAGCCGCAGACGGCGAAAGGAAGATATAAAACTATCAGTGCAGACTTTATCATAAGACCAATTACAGCTAACTTTATACGTAAATTTACGGCACCGTTCCAGTGCTGGATAAAGCATACAGCTTGCCGGAAATAAAAAAGGGCATCCGCTACTTCGCTGCTTACCGTAAAACAGGTTGTAGAAGTTTGCCGCGAATCCCGCAACAGCCAGGAGGACTTCCGCAATGCTGAGTGCCAACACACTGCCAGTTGCCTTCTGGACCTTCGATAGTTTCTCCATTATGCAGTCGGATAAACAGTTAGAAAGTCTGGCGTTAGCCAACCCAGTGCCGTTTGTAATGTTCGCTTTCAGAAACAAGACGAGTAATTCTTGAGTAGCGATACTGAATAATGACCGTAATATTATTATGGTGCGGAAGCAGTCAACTGGTTTCACAGATCGTTCAGACGGAGATCGTACGCCGCACGGCGCATGCATGGTAATGGTAACAAGAATTCTGTCGATCGGCAGTCTAAGTAAAAAGGCGGTACTTGGAGAACCAAGTACAGACTGTATATTAATAACAGTACAGCGTATAACGTCTTCATGGTATAGCATTCTCGAATCATCAGGCTCAGTCAATGACTCAAAGCAGTACAGTTGTGGATTCTTAGTATAAAATTCGTCGGCTCTCGAATGAGCTGTTGGTTAGCCGTTTGCAACCTCAGAATCCGCATGTACAGATAATACAGATTTCTTTAATACTCGCCCTAATGTTTGATATGCCATGAATATGTACATATAGTACCTGAGTAGACTCGTAATTTTGTAGTAATATCAACAAGCAATCGCTGGTAGGACGTACTAGGTACAGCCATCTATAATTAATGCCTTATGCAAAGTTAGGATTTTAATGCAGTCAGGAGGCGATAGCACTGATCCGTACTTTGCGCTTAATAATTATATCATGATAGGGTGATTAGTTCCTGGTTAAGTTCAACCTGGTTAAGACCTAGTTAAGATGACCTGGTTAAGTTCAACACCGCATGCAGTATTAAATCTAACCGAACATAACATAGAGATACGGTTTAATAGTCATTACTACCTTCGCCAAAGCAGGAATGATCAGAGCGAAGATATCAGAAATAGTTTTTTTATATGACTGGTACTGCTGTAAGCCTGCAACCATAAAAAACTAAAGTACACTCAAATGACCCGATTATCATACACATACAGTGCTGTATCTGTATGATATGGAGCGCGGCTTATTGCAGGGCGAAAAGATATGGTGGGCTGCGTCCGTCACAGACACCTGGCAGGTTATGTCATGAAATACTCGCTGCAGATGTTCACTATAGAGGAAATCATACGGATGGAAGTTTGTGTTCGAACAGCACAGTGCTGGAAAGCTGGCTGAACCTGGAAATTTCTTTCTTTATCCAGTTGTTCAGAAAAGCGCAGCTATGCTGACTTATAAGTGGAGCTGCTGTTTTGCACCTAAACAGAATCTGCCTGATAGCTGAATCGAGATGAGAAATTACCGGTTCTGTAAAGAGAGACAGCCTGCTTCCGGAGTAGGACGAGAAAAGTTTAAAGGTTTAACTATTTCCACACTCCAAGGGATGGAAAATTGTTCACTCAGAATAATGTTCAACCGGTAACTGAGATCCATTATCCACACCACCGGTCACTATTACCGGCCAACGTCCAGCAACTGACGAAAAATATGCTACCCAATGGGCAGAATAGTACCCAACAAAATACCGCGAAATGGAACGCCTGCGCGGACCTTTTAATTTTGATCATTGCCTACGTTCTATGAGTAACGTACTTTACATTATCAGATGAGGAAGACTCGTTTTCATCGGACAACAGGGTGCGTCACTGTGTGAGCACTGGTTATCCTCTCCCCTTGTATTCTTTTCTTATCGTTCGAAATTTTGTTATGAAATACACGGATACACTGGTGGTATTCGAAACTGAAAAAGCGACTGCATACGCGGCGAATGCATTGAGGCGCGAAAGCTGAGTGAGCGCGCTTGAGATAAGATAACGCGCGCATGTACGTGACGCTGTATGAGAGAAATCGCCGTTTCCCGCGATTCGCGGCCAGAATAGCTACTCCGGAGTAGCTTTTCTGGCCGCGTATGGCGTGAATCTTCATACAACGGCACGTACATGCGCGCGTTATCTTATCTCCAGCGCGCTCACTCAGCTTTCGCGCCTCCATGCATTCGCCGCGTATTCAGTCGCTTTTTCAGTTTCGAATACCCTTACTGCAATGTAGTAAATGCTCTTAGTCGAAAGTGATCCGATATCATATCCATAGTTCTCTGTATTTGTTTCGATTTTATAAAATCAATTTCAAAAACTTTATAATTCATTTAAAAATTATGGAAAAGTGCTATGAACCTGAAATTAGTTCGCTTTTGACTTCATGGCCATGTGTCTTTTGCAACAAAGCTTCAAGAAGATAGGGTAATAACTAGACTTTTGGTACGCGACAATGCATTTAAACTTCTTGCCCATTTTAATGCGCCATATCTCGGCAACCGGGTGTTGCGCGCGCAAACATGTATACAGATCATTTAGAACACGTATCTATATTCATCACGTTTTCATAACAATGTATACAAATAATCGACCGAAGCGAAGCGGAGGTCCTCTATGTTCAGGAAATTAGGACTTTTGTCTGTCCGTCTGTCACGCACTAATCTGTCCGTCGGTCACACACTAAGTTACGCTACCTACTAAGCCTTAGTAGGTACTAAAGCTACTTATGTCTTAGTACATACTAAAGATTAGTACCTACTAAGCCTTAGTACCTACTAAGGCTTTGTACCTACGAAGGTTTAGTATCGAAGCCAAGGCGCCCTGTGTTAAGGCTAACTGGAATCTTTTCTGTCCGTCGGTCGTGCACTAACCTATCCGTCGTTCACGGCATAAGCAAGACTAGCCGCTAACCTTAGCACCTGACAAGTAGAGCACTAAGGCAGCCTGAAATGCAATACCTGAGAACATGAAACTGAAGGTCTCTTTTTGTTATGAAATCAAATTTGGTTTTTTTTATTGGGTGACACTGTAGGCACTCCGAAAACCCTTTTTTTGCATAAGCATCCCTTGTCCGCACCCCGTTAACTAAAGGCGCTCTTATCTTATTAATTAACTTCTTTCGTACACCCTGTTTTTTATGGGCACCCCTTGCAGCTTTAGCTTATAACTATAGCTTCAGAACCTATGTACGTGAGATATATATATATAGCAGCGGTGTATTCAGTAGTTCATTAGACTGCTCGCTACCCAGCCAATTATACAACTAAACTCTAAACTTAACAACAACACTGGATATTGCTATCCCGTTCCTACGGCGCCTTATCCGTAGGACATCAACCAGATTCACGAAATACTCGTACAACATTTGTATGTGTACACACATACACCACAATACAGTAACTATAATAGTATTAATATTATTATGTTCTTTTAAGTATTGTGTAACGTAGCGTTCTCGTAACTTTTTATCAGACACTTCAAGGCTAAAAGCGTTATGTAAATAATGGTTAGCAAAAGCGCTGAACAACGAGGAGGTCATTCGCGGCCGGCGTATAAAGAGAACCGGCCAACGAAATTATGATTTCGAAACGAAACATCAAAATTACTGCTGACAAAGCCATTCTCACTGGATCTAAATCAGCAGATCAACGTCACCGCTCGGTAATCGGATGGAATACATGATTGTATGCAAGTGCACTGTTTTAAGACAACGCACGCACATGAAATTATGTATGTACAAAAACGAATTGAAGAGGTTGCCTACAAAATACATTAACCGGGTGTTTCTTTTTAATAAATACGAGTAGAAAAAGGTGTCTGTAAAATACTGGGTGCGGAAAGGGGTGCTTATATTGACGAGGGTGTAGAGGATTGCCTATAGTGATTCACTTTATTAGCGTACCGTTGTTCAGAAACGACAGAATCCATATTTTTAAAACTCACATGCAACAGTAGAAACAGAATGAATTCAGAAAAGAAAGAAAACAAAGATTCAAAGTAGATACTCATAGCTGATCATAATAAAACCAACCACCCTGCAGCGTTTAAAAAAATTCAAATGAAAAATTATGTGCGAAGACCCGCCCTGAGTAGTTCAAGCATGGATGTTCGCCATTTTCTCTTTTGTTTAAGTTCATACAGCGGTCTTCAACAAGCACATGCTCTGTACCGGAAGACGACCCTGGTATTGACATAAATGGATGGTATTGCAAAAGGAACTGGGGAAAAGTGCTGTACTATGAAATGTTCGAAAACGATTTTTAAAATCGAGGAATTTTGAGCTCAGTCATTTTAAGATAAGTAGAAATTACAATCTATAAACAAATCTACAAGGAAAATTTCCATAGGGAGAAAGCAGATTTTTTTTTAGATGTACATCAGACAATTGCCTTGTCTGTCCTGTCAAGCCCTACTTAACTTTAGATGATTTAATGTATGTGCATAGTATGAGGAGTATCTAATTGTGCGAACTTTTCGGGCTTCGCTTCGGTCTTATAGTGCTAGCCAAAAGCGGTGCACTTCCCTAGCTTATCTTTAGGATGACATAAAGTATCACCAAAACGTGATTTGGAATGCGCGCAAGCGAAAGTTTTAGTGTATGTATACCATTTTTGACGCTCTGTACCGGGCCATTTTCCTTAAGTTCCGTTTCTCTGCCCTTTATTTTCTTATTCCACACCCGCACGTACACCCAAGGCCAAAGACATTGAGATAACTCAGAAATCTGGTTACCTTCATAAAGTACACCAGTGAGTCTGCCTTAGGGAGTACAAAAAAACAGGTTTGAACGCCGTAAAACTCTCTTACTGAGCCACGCCAGATCTCAGAGATAGACGGGCAGAATTGTAAAACGGTTGCGGGATGTACACATATGATTGGTCATTTCGAAGTTAAAGTACGTATAATCCAACAGGCTTATCCTCCCCAGGGCGTAGCATAGCTGCCACCCGATCCGAACGGAGTGGCACCGTTGCCCGCCATTCCTCCGAAATCGTTAGCTGGCGGTCCGGCAGGAGGCGCACCTGGGCTGCCGCTCTTGGCGGCCGCCGCAATGGCTGCGGCCCCACCAGCCGCCGTTCCCCCGGCGGCCACCATGGCTGCCCAGGTGGTCAGGGGAATCGCCCTCTCCACACGAACCAGCTCACGCGTATCCTCCTGGAACGAGAGAACGTCAAGACGGTCCGACCGAAATGTTCACCCGTTAGACCAACGGATTGTGAGCAGAACAACTGAAGGTGCCGTATGGAACTCCTGAATCGGAGTACCACGGAATACATAATAATATTATTTACCGATAAAATCAAAACAATGTAATACATTAGAAAAATAAGTATTAGTACTTAGTAGTTGTTATTACTAAGTTATTGCAAATACCGGTCGCGCATATAGCCATTCGAAATCGAAATAAAGAGGTACTGATCTCTGCTTCGAACCAGCTTTGGAAATACTTTTAAAATTCTGAAAGTTTGAAATTTTCAAGCACATTGAAATTCAAAGGTAAAAAGAATGTGGATCTCCGAAGAACTGGATATATTTATAAATATTCAGAAATATTGAAAAAATCGAATGTCAATACATACATGAAAATTATTTATCGTTTAATATTGCTATAACTTATAAGCACCTCCAGCTCATTGCGCATAAAAACTGTAGGAAATTTAATGCAGTTGTTGACCTTTTTGAAACTTTCTAAAGTATTCTAAAAGGTTATTATCCTAAATTCGAGAAAGTGCTTTTGAATCTCTGACTACATAGTCCATAGTCAAACAACAACAATCTGATTTACTACAGTGATATTACTGTTACCGTCTCTGTGGATCGCTTGCGCCGATTTCCGCCTCCAATGTCCGCATCGCCGTTGGAGCCGGTTCCGCGGCAGTACCTGTTGCAGCCATTGGCGCCGCAGTAGCTGCAGCACATGCTGCCCCATCCGCGGCGAATGCAGTCGGTGTCGGTGTGGCAGTTGTCGATGGGTCTTCCGTTGGGGATGTAACGCGGACAGCCGCCGCAGACCAGGCCCAGCAGCCCGGCCAACAGGACGACAACTACCAGGATTTTCTCCATTTCGTCAAGGCGGTGGAGTGCTAAGCGCGTTAAGCTCAGCTTTGTGGAATGGTCTTTACTGAGGCTACTTAAACACGTTGTTTTCAACTCATAAACAGGTCTAACGCATAGCGCATACTATGACGGTGTACTGTAGAACAAATCGGTTTTTTATACAGAAGTGAGAAATCCCACGACTTGAAATCAGTGACGGCATATCCGTCGTTGAGCTTGCCCTTTGCACATCCTGTTCTACTACTCATTTTGGGCTGGCAGCATACGTTGGGTGCGTGCACTAACGTCCTTGGCACAATACTTTGTCACTCCTTCTTGTCGTGATTTCTTTAAAGGCTGATACGGACCGTTGATATATGCATGTGAGAAAATCCGCTGTTAATGTCAAAGTCCGTTTATTGTACGTTTTCTGGACCAATTCCGACTGTGTTTCCGTGCTCCGTGGTAAAGGGTAGTGGCCGTGTGTCACGACTCTCGAGACTATGCTCGGCGATTTTGTCGAGCGAAGCTAAGTAGCTAACCATGAGGTGCTTCTACACTTGCAATGTAGGCGCAATCAGCAGTCCGCAACTGTGCAGCAGCAGACACGTTTCGTAACACCTGTTTTATGGTTTTCTGCCTGTTTCTGTTCCCGTAATACGCTATAATGAGTATCACGATTTTTCCAGTATTTAACAGGGAAAAGTCTGCACAAACAATGCTTTGGGAACCGGAAAGTAAGCTGCAGGAAATATTTTGGTCAATTAAGCAGTTGTACGGTATATAAGTCCGGACTACACCCAAGTTGATGCAAATAAAAATTAAATCTGCGGCAACTCGAACATTTAGTATGTGGTTCTAGATCCAGCATAAATTTACCGCAGTAGTGGTCCAGTTACTATTTTTCGTGGATGTCGTTCGTCATTTACAGTAATTGCCTCTGCCATCAGGTTTGCAAGCTGTTGGAGGACGTAAGACCTTTAAACGACACAAGCTCCGTTATTCACACTGGAAGCCGGAAGGACCTGTCAACGTTATAGCTGTACTGCAAAAATCAACTGAGTTGCACTTGGAGTTTGCACTTTGACCCTCCTGAGTGTACCACGGTTTAGGTTCGTGTATGTCGCTGACAACCTTGAACGTTCTGACAAGGGCGCTGCAGTTAGTGCACGCACCCAACGTATGCTGCCAGCCCAAAATGAGTAGTAGAACAGGATGTGCAAAGGGCAGGCTCACCGACGGATATGCCGTCACTGATTTCAGGTCGTGGGATTTCTGACTTCTGTATAAAAAACCGATTTGTTCTACAGTACACCGTCATAGTATGCGCTATGCGTTAGACCTGTTTATGAGTCGAAAACAACGTGTTTAAGTAGCCTCAGTAAAGACCATTCCACAAAGCTGAGCTTAACGCGCTTAGCACTCCACCGCCTTGACGAAATGGAGAAAATCCTGGTAGTTGTCGTCCTGTTGGCCGGGCTGCTGGGCCTGGTCTGCGGCGGCTGTCCGCGTTACATCCCCAACGGAAGACCCATCGACAACTGCCACACCGACACCGACTGCATTCGCCGCGGATGGGGCAGCATGTGCTGCAGCTACTGCGGCGCCAATGGCTGCAACAGGTACTGCCGCGGAACCGGCTCCAACGGCGATGCGGACATTGGAGGCGGAAATCGGCGCAAGCGATCCACAGAGACGGTAAGAGTAGTACCGATACCTAAGTAAAGCAGTTTTGAGATAACGTTGTCGCATGCCAAGCGTTTCGTGCATTCCTGCACCAGCAATGTTATTTTTTCACTCGCATTTCACAAAACACGGGTGCAATGTAGCTTCTTCAATATCTGGTATCGCTTGCAGTAAATATTTATTATTATGTATTATGCAGGTGCAGACCGATAACGGGAACAACAGCACAAACGGACAAGCCTTGTGATGGGAAGTGATTAATCAAGCGCACCGGGGTGTTCACTCTGCAGTGATCCGTGAATTGTATCGTTGTTTTTCATGCTTTGTGCACTTGACTCTATATATTAATACAAAGTGCTTGCTGTGCTGTATTAACGCATCTGAACTATGCATTACGCGGCAATAATATGCAAGAACACTCATACATTTGAAGACGCTTTCGAGTCTTTTGCGATGGCGCTCTTCGCTCACACGACATAACCTAAAAGATGTAAATCTGAGAAAAATAGCCATCTTGGATACTTTACAAGGACGCAGAAAGAGTCTCTTGTAAAAATCGCACGTTATGCTACGACATAATTTTCTTTTGGGAGTTGCGAGTTGAGATATCGCTTTAATTAGAATAACGTTACAATAGCCTGGCGGTCCGAAATTTCAACACGTAAACTACTAAACATACAGCTAGTGCTTAGTGAGCGCGCTGTCAGCGACACAGCGCTAAGAACCATGACCGACACATTAGTCTGCAATTGTTGCAATGGAAAACGGTGCTCCATAGTTACCTAGATCTTCTCTATTGCACCGACTTTCGCGTAACTACTATCCACTGGGCGAACACGGTTACTGTGATTCGTTAATACAGATTACGAGTGTTCCCGACTATTTGGCAAACACCAACTTTGCCAAAAGCGTGTACCATGTAAAATACCGTGGTGTGGCGCGCCATAGAATGTGCGGTAGTTTGACCTTTGACGTAAGTGGCATAACGGTAAGCCATGAATTTATATTGGTCAGGTCTACGCGCGAAAGAACTCACGCGCGAGAGCTCCTGCGCGTAGTAGTTTGATTACGCGCGAGAGCTCTCGCCTGTAGTAAAACTTGTATAGAATCAGCTACGCGCGATAGTTTTGTTGTTTTTTTTTATTTTCATAAACGAGCAATAATAAACTACAAATGCCGCACCATTACAGATAATAATTCTAAAATCATAATTTGAGTTCAGAGAGCAGTATCTCCTCGTTAAAGCGGCAGCTTCACTGCTTTTCTCCACCGCTTAGGCTTCTTGTGAGGAAACGCGTATGCTTTGAAAGGTGATCACTGTCTTACTACGGGCATTTCGCCCCTTAGTTTTTGGCGGTTGCTTCAGCACTCCCGTTATAACGATTTCGCGAAACCATTCCCGAAGTTTTCGGTCGGGGTAATAATTTGCTGTCTAGTTAAGTTTTCCAGCAGCAGGTCATAAGCAAATGCAAACGCATAAATTAGGCAGTTGCTCCTCACCGGCGGCTGTCCGCAGACTGCGACGTACTCAATTTCAACCTGACTATTTGAATCCGGGAAACAGAACAAGCGAAATAGTTGCAACTTTAGAAGATCTGTTGGCTGTTGTCCCGTCGAGCAGAAGATCCTTACAACGTCAGGCTTCAGACAATCGTACAGTGCGTACACGGGGTGAGAAACAGCAGACACTGACCTCTGATGACTCTCGCGGAAGAATAAGTAACTGCAGTGCCCAGCGCTCGGCCGACTTCCGGACTCGGAAGCCTGTGCGTGTACAGAAATACTACCAGTGCACCCCAGTCGTTCTCCTTGCAAAATCTCGTCCCTTGTATAAAACTGTCTTTCGTAATGACTGTCCCGAAAATTCCCGTCGCGTTAATGGCACCCGCGATAATACGAGGTGGTACGCGGGTGATGAAGAGCCCGGTGTCAACTCCCGTTGCGGACAGTCTTTTGTTCTCCGGGATATGTTTGACTATGGTGCTTGTAAGCGCATGGTTATGGTCCTCCACGCCGGCAGATGCACGATTTCCATCATACCGTTAAGAAGCTTCAGATGAACGTATGGTTTGCAACCACTCCTGAGCGTCGTTGTGATGGACTTGTGGGTAACCTGCTCGTCCTTCCCGTGTGGGCGATATTCGCTTCCCTTTTTATAGATGGGCGGGCGGAACTGTATGGGAAAGTTGCATGGTGCGGATGTGTTTTCGATGTCCTCGCGTTTCCTCCAGGGTTTGCGAAAACTTGGTTGATCAGTTGTCCTTGATCTTGGACAGCTTCTACAGCTGCTTCGTATGACATAAAACGACCTCCAGTTTAAAGCAGAGGCGAGTCCTTTTTAGAGGAGTAAATAGTACAAAATTAAGAATAACAACCGTCACGAGTACCGGTAGGTAGCTTAATTGTTCCGGCTTGTAATACGAATTATGCCGGCTTGCACACAGTACTGGTATATATGCAAGAAATCGGACACCAGCATAACATTAATAATTTTGACCTTGGCTGCTGATTCAGATATAATAACAGTCAGTTCAAAATCGATAAATTTCTAATTTCGGTAACTCGCGCGCGTAGTTACTTGACTTTGAGCGAGAAACTCTCGCACGTAATCAAAGTACTGCGCGCGCGATACTCTCGCGCGTAGCCATTTCGATTTATATAACCTGATGTTTTCTTTCGTGCTAATTCCCCGGCCCGGCTTGTACTATTACCCAAAGAGTACATAGAATACATAGAATTAATTAGTGCCAGAATACATAGTAATACACAGACTCCATAGAATACATAGAATTAAATAGAATACATAGAATACGTGGAAATAATGCAGAGAACTATTTCCACGGTTCTGGAGGAACAAGCGCCTCAGAGATGCCTCCGGTACGCAAGGCCTTAGCGGAATGGAGGATGGCCGCTGCGCAATATGACGGTGTCTACTGTGTCCGTCTTGAAGTCCGCCTTTAAATTAATTTGGTGAAAGATTAGTATTGACATGACAGGCGGAAAAATAAAGTTTTTTATATATAGAGCGGTAAATGTATATATATATATATATATATATATATATATATATATTTTCTCCTAAAGATACATACTGATATAAATTTGGTGGTACAGTCTGATCAATATATCATCCAAAAAAATTCAGATAATTACGAGACACTTACATATGCAGGTACATAGTGTATAAAGTACATACCGTAAAATCCGATATTAACGCCCCCCCCCCCGTAATAAACGCCCCCTGCGGTTTTAAACGCCCCCTCCCGAGCCTCTCGAAAAAATAAACGCCCAGGGCGTTAATATCGGATTTTACGGTATACCATAACATTTCGTGTACATTGACGTGTAAAGTCAGGTAGTCACAAGCATCGAAAAACATTTTTAAACAGTTTCACGCCAATGCCGCATGGTTAGCTTGTGACAAGTCTAAAGTGCGCATGCATGTGCAATCTGTGGAAGTGTAGTACGAAGTATCATAGATGAATAACGCAAGCCTCATATTTTTTCTTCCTTCTAAGCGCATTTTCAGTCTGGTTTCAGGGTGTACTATACTGAACATCCGCCTAGCAACCGACTTAGAGAAGTCAATAGTTTTTATCTCGTACTAAAAATCGTAATAATATAAAATTATTGCTTTTCGCCGAGCTTCGCACAATTTTAATGTACCGTAAATAAATACATTTACTTGCAATGCATTTACTTCGGCTCTTTTGCTTGTTATCGTTAACAAATGGACATCCTGCCCAGAATGGGCACCACTCGTTAATAACTGGTACGTACGTTACAGTGAACGTGAGGAAGGAAAGATGTAGACTAAAATAAAGTCTTTTTATAGACCAAGACTTCCCAATCGAAGGATTTAAATCACCAATTGCGAACAGAATTTAGGGAAGCGTGCCGGTACACTGGTACATGGTACCAAATTTGGGGACATGTGCTTAAACGTTCGCTTTCTCGCACTTCGACACTTTTTTTTGCATTGTTTTATGAATTCTATAGCCAAACGGCTTGTATACATTGGCGTGAAAACCGTTTGCGCGTGCAACATCCAGTTGGGAGTTTTAGCACATGTACCGGAATTTGGTACCATGTACCAGCACACTTCCCTTAATACAGATACCATATTATCTCTGGAGACATGCAGTAGGACATTAGATTACTGCAGATTGTTAAATCTTGCTAGTTTTAACAGCTTGGCACTGGTGAAGGCTTGGCATTATACCAGTATTTTCAACCCGGCTTTAGTAATCTTTCTGCTGTATTTAAGTAAGGATAATAAATTATTCAGCTCTGAGGTTTGCGTTCGGATCTCATGGAATTTAATGGGAAATTACGAATTGACAAAACCATCAAATTAAAGATTATGTTTGCATAGATAATCGTCCGCACTTGCTGCAAGCAGATGAGCCGGAGCTGTATGCCATGGCGGGAACCAGGAAGACCGAAGTTAACTGCGAAATCGACGACAGTTCAAACTCCACATCCGTTACGTGGTTTCGCAATGGATCCGAGATAATTCCTTACGGGGATCCTGACAACCGACGCTTCGTCACCAAAAAGGCCGGTTTCGTGCTGGTGCTGCATAATTTAACGTTATCCGATCATAACAGCGTCATCGGCTGCCGATTAACCAACGCACACGGTACAACATGGCATAATGTGACCTTGATAGTGATTTCTGAGGCAAAAATACCAGGACACCCCCGCATGCCCAGTATATTTGAGGACGACAACGTGGAACAAGCAAAACAGGATGGTATGTGGATTCTGGTAGCTGTTTCACACGTCTGACTGCTTAGTCTGTCTGTCAACAAACTCTGCGTACATCGGAAGTACAGTACATCAGAAAACTAATACGAATGTACCGTAGCGCACAGCAAGAACAACGATTACCGGGCTAGTTTTTAGAACCGCAAGCGCCGTACTTTTTCATGCATTCCGGAACCAAAACGCTGGAATTTAAAATGACAAAACTGGTGGGTGCCAGCGGATTATTGGGATGTTTGGCAGTGGGATACCCGCAGTCGTTGGTCGTCTGGACGAAGGACGGGGCGGTGGTTCATAATAGTGTAAGCTGGTACTGCCTAGTGCCTAACTGGCGATAGCTGCATTAGTACAAGCTTCTCCCGTAATTTCTCACGCATCAACATGGCGATTAACTGTTTCTTTCTTATATTAATGTACAAGCAACAATAAAAAATTCATGAGTTACGAAATTGAGTTCATGAGTTGCACGTAGTGTAGTGGGAGCTGCTTACAATGGACGACAGAAAGAGGTTGAAATCGACCGGCCAGTGTGCGGTCGCCCCTCATGAACTTCTTTTTGCCGTGCACTGTATAGTGCAACTTTCACGCTAAATATCTTGCGTACTAGTGTACTTGCGCTAAAATTACAGAGTAGTGCAGCACGCCAGCGCTTGCGATTAGAATAGCATACCGGCGCTTGCGTGACTGCAGATTAGTAAGTATTTATTATCATTCAAGTTAGATGCTTGCTTCAGGAATTGAGCATTTAAGGGAAGTGGGCCGGTACATGGTAACAAATTCGTGTACCTGCACGAAAACACATTTTTGTTTCGGTTTATGACATTCTGTAGACAAAAGATTTGTATACACTGGCGTGAAAACCGTTTGTGCGCGCAACATCCGGTTCGGAAGTTATGGCTGTTAGAAAATTACAAAAAGTTTGAATGCGTTCGGGTGTTCCAGAGGTCTCATTATGGACCGATTTCCCTCAAATTTTGCACGGAAATGCACATAACCAGGAAAAACGTTTTTACACCGATCCACTATTCTAGCATGTTTTTCAAATTTTAAAATGAATTTCAAAAATTTTAATATTCATTTTAAAATTTGAAAAAAATCATGGAAGTCTGGATCGGTGTACAAACGATGTTCATGGACATGCACATTTACGTGCAAAATTTGAGGGAGATTGGCCCATAATGTGACTTTTGGCACGCCCGAATGCATTCAAACTTTTTGTAATTTTCTAACCGCCCTAACTCTCGAACCGGATGTTGCGCGCGCAACCGGTTTTCAAGCCAGTGTATACAAATCTTCTGGCTATATCTGTAGAATGTCATAAAACAAGAGAAAAAAGGATGCGGGTGTGCGCGAAAGTGAAAGATTTTGTGCATGAACAGGAATTTGGTACCATGTACCGGGCCACTTTCCTTAAGATGCTTCAGATTATTTCAGTACAGGCTTCTACAGATAAATTAGATTATGCATGCACACGAATTTTGCACGCATGTACCGGCCCACTTTCCTTATGAATTGATCTGGCGTTTTCACTGCACATAGACGAAAAGGATTTCCGTGTCTCAAGAAGACTTCTCCCTGCGGATCGAAGATCTGCAAGCGAGCGACAGAGGGCATTACCAATGCACTGCCACAAATATTTACGGATCAGTAGTGGCGAAATACGCTCTTGCTGTCGTCGGTAAGTTTTAACAACAAAATCGATTGAAAAAAGTACAAATTATTCGGAAAGATATACGATATACGAGTAAGTAGTAACTGTACAAAAAACTTGGATAACTGTCATTTTTATTTGTTGCATGGCTCATCCGACGCACTGTACATTGTACTGTGTACATACAGTACTGGCAGCGCCCTTCAGTGAGTTTGCACCATAACTAATGAGAAGTGTTGATTTCAGACATTAAAAGCTGATCGGGAAAAGACAGCATGCGTCAGCCAGTTAATGGTTTGCGCGTGCATCTGGAAGTTCCTCCCGCATAATCCGTTATCAAGCAGACGACGCGATGCCAGTCATGCAATTGCCTGACTGCTTGTTCACTTTCGAGGTGGTCGATCGCTGCCCGTTCTTACTTTTTGCTTGTTTCTCGGAACCAATCAAGCACCTACGTACATTAAAGTATGTAAAGTGAAACAGTGTGTAATTTATTACAACAAAAACCTGAAAACACGATTGTCACGACTTGAAGGTGGCGGCATAATGTATTTATTATGAAGCGCCACTGAGGGCGCAAACAACCAACTGATCGTTGTCATCAGGACAACAATGGCACGCTGCAACCGCAGTTGCCATGCTGGACAACACACCACGTAGAGGTCACAGCGGACACAACATTCTCGTGACCTCAGTGCCACTGCACTACGCCACAGGACACAACATTTTCGTGACCCCAGTGCCACTGCACTACGCCACAACGATCCAAAAATTGGTCGTGCTGGCCCATGTACATATATAGACATAAGTACAAAAAGTTCCGGCGTTTAGTAAGGAGGCAAAAATGCGCGGAAACGGCGGATTCACTTGTTCAGTGCAATCGCATCTACCTTTCTAACGAAGGTCAACAGATTGGTGGATTAGCTGTCGAATTTTCTGCCGAAGTACATTCACCTTTTCTAAAGGTCAACGTCCACTTTCTTCCGACCTTGGAAGAAAGGTGGGCGGCTCGCTTTTTTGCCGAAGATCCACCATTCTGATATGTTTACTCTGATCATTTCCTGCGTTTAGCGAAGTTGTTAACGACAACAAGCATATCTCCATTATGTTCGGTCAGAATTGATGTTGCATGCCGGGTAAATGCTGTCAGGCTCTTAACCTATGGTGATGTACTCGAGATTATTAAATGCAAAGTACTGATAAATGTTAATTAATGAATTCTGACTGCTTTAAAGTCTTCAATTTACATTAAGCATTTACATTAAGCTTCAATTTACATTAGACTGTACCTAGTACGTACTACCTTTGATTGCTTGTTGATATTAAGAATTACTGATGTTGTATCTACATATTCATGGCTCTGGAGCATTACCGTAGCACGAGTATTATGACCGAGATCCGCTTTACGCGCGGTTTCTCAAGCTTACAAACCTAACCAAGCAGGTACGGTGCAGGTTACCAACATCGACTCTTTGGGGGCGCGGCATCGTATACGACACAATCCGGGCCTGATGATTCGAGAAGGCAGTACCATAAAGACGTTATACGTTGTACTGTTACTCGGCACTTGGTTATCCAAGGACCGCCTTCGTATTTTGACTGTCGATCGATAGTATCCTCAATTATAAGCATTAATACCGCATGCGCCATGTCGTGCACGATCTCCGTCTGAACGATCTGTGAAACCAGTTGACTGTTTCGGTGCTTATTCATTATCGCTTAAAATAGCGAGTTACTCGTATTATTTCTGAAACATTTCTGAAACCCGCATTGGTTTGACTAACGCCTGAGTTTCTGACTGTTGATCCGACTACATGATGGAGAAGCTACCGCAGATTCCAAAGGCCACTTGCAGTGTGTTGGCACTCAGCATTGCGGAAGTCCTCTTGGCACTTGTGGGATTCGCGGCAAATTTCTACAACCTGTTTTACGGTAAGCAGCGAAACAGCGGATGCCGTTTTTTTATTTCCTGCAAGCTGTATGCATTATCTAGCACTGGAACAGGACCAAATTTACGTATAATAAAGCCAACTAAAGTTCATTTTTAATAAAGTTTACATTGATATTTTGATATCTTCCTTTCGCTGTTTGCGGTTTAAATTTTTAATTTCCGTCAAGCTGTTTTTCAACCATGAACCATCTGGCTTAATGTTACTCGTTCATTATCTGCTTGTTTTTTAACTCTGCAAAATAGATAATTAGATTCGGACGTGGTTGGCAGAGCGCAAAAGATGTGACTAACAGCGGGCACTATTCTAATTTCCACTGACATCATTCTGCATGTAACGCCGGGGTGCTACTCTACGTACAAACTGTGCCTGCGATGATGCACAGCGATCACATGCCGTGCTGTCTTAAGCTTTCATCGATCGGCAGTACAGTCTGATTACAGTACAATACATGACTAAATAGTCCTAATATATTTTCTAACCTGCATTGCGTATTACCACACATGTTAGGTGTGTCTTTACTGCTATGTATTATCGTGTTATTGCATGTAATTATTGCCTTGTATTCACGGATCAGCCGGCTGCAATTTTCAGTAATAAGAATTCCTGCATGATGTTGGAGACAGACTACAGTTTCCCACATTATCGTCCCATTCGATAGCTTCGCAGTGTTAAAACATCAAGGACTTCTATTTTTTAAAAAAATTGGTTATGATAAAAATTTATTGAGCCGGCAGTGATATTCGTTTTCCTGGTTCCTTGCAAAAATTTCGCTGAGAACACGCTCCTGAGAAGCTGAGATTGATACTTTTTTCTCATCATTGAAATTTTAATGTAAGACATTCATCACAATAACTCGATTTTCTCTTTGAAAGATTTTTTGATCACTTTGTAGAATTTTCTATGTGTTGTTTTGCAGGCATCCTGGCGCCGGACGAGAGTATTCCGATGGGGCAGACGCTGATCTTTATCGTGTCCATCCCGTTGTACGCAACGCAGCTGGTATGCGGCGTCCGTCTCATGGTGGCCAGTGTGCGCCTAATGCGGGGCCAGAGAAATTCCGCCTTCTTCGGGGAAGGTGTCCGCAACATTCCTGCGCGGGAATTCACAATGTGCCAGGTGTTGGCTCTCATGAGCTGCTGCGTGTGCCTGCTGGCCCTGGTCCTCGCCTGGTTCTGCCAGGTCGGCTTCGTCGCGAACCGCCTCCTTTTGTCGGCCAAACTGGACCTCATGTTTCCCAAACCGGACGCTATACCCAAACCCAAACTGGGGGCGTGGGAAGCCGTTCAGCAAGCCTTCCAGGCGGACTTCACCGGACAGATGGTCATGCTGGCAGCGGTGCTGCTGCAGATCGCCGGTGTCATCGTGGTGGTCTTCATTCTTCGGCAAAGTAAAGCCGTCCGAGAAGAGCTGCAGTTGGCTGATAGGAATGCGGATGATCGCAAGTCCTGCAAGGAAGAGCACAAGCTTCTCGCCCGTTTGAAGGAGTATAACGAACCACCGCCCGCGTACAGTGGCGGAAAAATTGCGCTGTCGGCGTAGGATAAGGTGACAAATGTGACCTTTACCTGGAGGCATCGATTCATCGTTGAGTTCGCTGTTAATGAATGACCTTTAACAGTAAAGCGCTAAACAGTTTTACGGTTTACATCCCTTTAATATGCGTATATAGTAGACAGTGCTTAGATATTTGTCTCGATACCTGTACTACAGCTTTTATCGGCAGATTTTTATATATCATACATCTTCTGCCCCATGACTTTTATCTTAGCACATAGTATTTCGGTACGGCATTGTTGTTTGCTTCGATTCCCTAGAGCTTCTCCTGTTTGGCTATCATAATAAGTATCATTATATATTCTGGAGAACTTTCTGTTTATCTCTCGTATTTCCCGCGTCACGGCGCCATTACGGATCACCCACGGTGCTTAACTCCGGCCACTGCAAACCCCCTCCCAGCCGACGTGCTTTCTCATCCATTGCTTTCCCCGTGTAGTGTTCCTTCCGCCATTTCCGATAGGAATGTTCCCGCACAACCATGGCTGCTTTCCTTACCGAAGACTTGCCCTGTTGTGCAACGTATAGTTTAGCGTTAACCCACTGTTTACTGTGACCGTAACTAGTTGTTTATAGAGTGTTGAAAACTGTATGATCGTAAATTCGTAAGTTTAAAATCTTCACTTTCCCATTTTGTCCTACCTACGTTACAGCTTACGTTTCTGTAATTTGTTCGCCTACTTCCATAAAAAAGACAGTCTGTCAATGTTAGAGGATTCGATGCTAACGCTCGACCGAGCTTCATTAAACTACTGCCGCCAAACTGCTGTTGTCACTATCCGGTATTTCCATTATTTCCGGATTCGATGCTAACGCTTACGAATGAATGATCGGCCGACCGAACGGCATTAAACTACTGCCCCAATCTGCTGTTGTCACCACTATCCGGTATTTCCATTATTGCAGCACCACCATAGTTGATTACAGTTACGATCGATAAGTCAGGCTACTGCAACGGCCGCCCGGAAAGGCAGTCCAGATAATATTAGCTGTACTCGAAAGGCAAATGCGTTCTGTACGATTATCTACGATACAGAGCCGGAAGTTCTGTGTCGTTTCGATCACACCCCCTTACAGCTGATTAAACGGCCGAGTTAAAGTGTTCTGTATCTAAAAGGAACTCTCCTGGCTCCGTTACGATACAGAACTCGCATTTCTTGCTAGGTCAAATTTATTTTGGTGAAGGCTCCGCATACCACCTTTATACCACCTTTGGCTCCTAATACCACCTTTCGTACCACCTTTGGCTCCTAGTACCACCTTTTGGACACCATTTTTGACTCCGCATGCCACCATTTATTTAGTACTTAACTTATGCATGTGTCTATCCATTTTTATTAAATTTTTTATATCTGAAATAGCTGAATGGTTAGATTGCGCAGCTACATCCATATCTACACGCTGCGCTTCGTACAATCCCGCATCTAAAGCGGATATATGAAATCAAATCCCGGATTGGTAATTCTCAGGGCTTTTCCTCCGGTGCGTCTTTTTAGTGGAAGCAGTTTTTTTTCTCAAATTATTCTAAAATCCATTTTCGAATACTTTTGCCGGTACACGATGTCTCTGCCGGGCTTCTTTTGTGGAAAAGGACATATGCGAATGCCGCAGCAAATGGCACACAGTCAACACCATTTTTATATCATTTTATTAAAAGTAAAAAAAAAATTATGGTGGTATGCGGAGTCAAACGTGGTCTGCAAAAGGTGGTATTAGGAGCCAAAGGCGGTACGAAAGGTGGTATTAGGAGCCTAAGGTGGTAAACGGTGGTATGAGGAGCCTTCAGCATTTATTTTTTGATGTGGATGCACAGTCCGCTGTAAGTCTGAAGTCTTGTTTTTAATTTTCAAGTTTTGAGGGTGTAATTAACGGGAGTTTAATTGTTTCTATCGAAAACATTCCAGTTCTGCTTTGTTCAGTGATTTTAGCTGCCTCCGACTGTGCATGTTTGAATTTGTATCGATGGCAACAGGCAACTTCGCCATAGCCGTCAGCGCGAGGAATACCTCGGCGCACTTTACGTGCAACTGCCTTTCGCTTTTTCACCAGTCGTTTGATTTCGTAACTTAACAAAACTTAAAATCGTCAGAAAAACAGAAAGGAAACGGCCACAAAATTGTTGTGAAAAATAAATAAATCGTTGACCAATTCAACTACGGTAACTGGGCGCTTTTAGAAACCGTGGTCTCATTGCTCTGTAGCGCTCTATAAGATTCAGCGCTGTACCATTGGTAGATTCACTTTTACAGACCTCGCGGCTCTGTATCTTACAGAACGCATTTAAAGTGCGTTTCGAGTAGTACTATTATATAGTATTCTAAACCTACGTTATAGTTAAGAGTATGTGCTCTGTATGGGCGAATCCAAGGCGCGTGCATGCGTAGTAATCTGGGACACTACAACTGGACATAAGTAGTAAGCAAGTATTAGTAATTTTTTAACGTTTAAATTTCTATCATTTTAAGCAGTATTACGCGAATGCACTTTTTGTTACATTGATGGCCTTTGCCCAATAAATTTGTACTATAAGCAAGAAAAAGTAGTGTTGTACCAGTACTTATGTCTCATCAGAACGTTTTAAGGCATAACCCCGGGAATGTTTTACTCGTATCATTATTATCGATACGGTGCATTTCAGTTCAGATTATGGACTTTTTCAAATACTTCTGGATCTTTCTATGCCGTCGGCACAAATGCTAGATGGTAGCCTTCATGCCGTCGGAGACCGGTCCGCAGCCAGTATTCCACCCGCGCCGACTGCGGACTGGTCGCTTCGCTTACAATGATGGTTGACGTGGTCGCGCAGAACAGGCCAGGACCACCGGGCACCGACACGTTTCGATGGAAACTGATGACCAGACCGGGGATTTTAGTGAGTTTGGGGATTTATTGCAGATAGCGGTAAGGCGCCAACAGGAAACTGCGGAGTCTGCGGTTGTAATTCCAAATAAAGTGAAAAAACCTAGGTTTGGATAGTTCTCTAACAGGATGACACCGGGCTGACATGATAAATTCCATGAGCGACTTTTTTATGTGCTTGAATATTACAGTATGTTTTATACAATCCGTACCTGCGCTTGCGCTGTATTATCACGCGCTACCGAATTGTATTATCACGCGCTGTATTAACGCGCGCTACCGAATTTTTGTGGCAGCGTATAAGTGTTGAAATTCAGCGTGGAAACGCTGCTTCTGTTTTGGGAACGGTTGGGTGTTCTAGAGAACTAGAAGAATTATTCTACTTATTCTAAGTTGGTTTCAGAAGTTCAAGTGTCAAATGGCGTTTGGCTTGTACAATAAATATTAAGAACATTGAAAAAAAAATTATCACGCGTCGATATAAATACGAAAACGGCAGTTGGAAATATTCAAACAAATCTGGATCAGAGTAAGCATGTTTTAATGCGTAAACATGCTATTACGCACGGCGATGTCGCACGCGGAGCGGCGGAGGTGTAAGTCCAACGGAGTCGGTAGTGCACTAAGCGCAGTTAACGTCGGGCAGAACTGAGCGAATCTGCTCCCGACCTCATCGGTTGCCAATCAGCCGCAGTACAACGAAGCCAGCCATACAGTGTCAGCTGCGTGTCCAATGGTCCATTGTGAAAGAAATAATTATTGTAACTCTGGTTCGATTTATGCACATTGTACAGTTAGTGCAAAATTTAAATAAGATCGGTCATAAAGACACCTTCGGTTTCACCTAGAAGCGATTAACGTCTAGGAATTTCCTGACAGTCATAACTTCCCAACCGGATGTTGCGCGCACAAACAGTTTTCACGCTTCCGTACACAAATCAACTGGCTACAAAATGTCACAGAATAAAGCAAAGAAGTTGTTGAGTGCTGAAAGCGAAAGTTTTCGTGAGTGTACACGAATTTCCTTTCATGTACCGCGAGAAGACCGGACCAACTATGAAGGCTTTTCCAGATTTTCCCTACCTTTAAGAACGAAGAGAATCGATAATACTTTCCTTATTATGCAAAGTACTCTATGTAGCACTACTCCATAACTATTTTGTGCCCCTTAATGTTAGATATCATTATCCAGCAAATATACATTTTCCCCAGCGTGATACAGCGGTTTGTTCGTTCACAACTGACATTTACTACGATGTGAGCAGTAAGTGATAAGAAAAATGGTGTTTACCAAACAACTGCACAGGAGACGAGCTAGCCGAGTGGACCAATGCTTGCAATGTCGACCAAACAGGACAGCTGACTGGTTTTTGGTCTAAAGGCAACCCAACACCGCGCCAGTGTATAGCAGAAACGTAATCAACGAAACTAACTTTGCAATTTAAACTGATCGGTTGGCGAGGAGTCTCTCCGTTCATATCGCGACCTGAGACTATTTCGCAAAACTACGTTTTCTCAGCTCTTTGCAGTTTAAAGATTCTTGGGCTGGAATTTTTAATTTTAACTTGTGCTCACTTTCCTGTTAACTATATAATATATTTATATTAATTTTGTTAGTAAAACTTTTCTTGTACAAGCTAGTTGCGATACTAAAATGAAAAGGAACGCCAACATTTCTCTACTCAAAATTAGCTGACCCTGCGCAAACTGCGCGAAATATATCAGCGATGTACCATGCAATGCCGGAATAATGACCAAACTGTGAACGAAGTGCGTTAACCTTTTAACTTTAAATTAAGCAGTAATTTTGTTGACTGACAGCACAACCTAGTACGTACAATTTGTACTAGGTACTGTCAGGCACATGAGCCTGTGCGTGGTGCGTACGGCTCAACATAGAGCGTACTTGCACTCACTTACATGCCATATTGCCTCTCTCGTGTACGTACGTGTGACGCTGCACTGCACCCATCCACTGAAGTGGATATACCGCACAGCGCACACACTGAGCGTACTTGCTCTCTCGTCCCTCTTTCGCAGTACTACTCAGCGTTCATACGCTCGCGTTGGGTAGAGTCCAGTCTGCGCATCACACAGCTGATTCACGTCTTGGCCCGCATCACCACGCACGTGTTTGCCGCCAGGATCACTTGACACTTACTCGCCAACGAGACGCATCAAGAACCTTTTGAGCATACACTTGCTATTTGGCCACACGTGCCTTTGTTCTTTTCTTCCTGCTATTACGCAGTATTGTCAGCCTTTATTGTCTAATAAAGACAGCATCGTGAGCTCCTCGCCATAGTCTGTTACATGGTAGCAGCATCTTTCTGGTTTTCCTTCCTACGGAATCTTTGAGGAGACGGTGAAGGCATCTTTTCGGAGAACTCGGGAGAACCTTTTCAGTCACTGTTTGAGACTGCTGAAGCAGCCTCTTCTTTGACTGTCGATCAACAAACGGTCGCATCGTCTTACAGCTGCGGCGAAACGGAGATCACTGAAGTGATTTCTGCCCAGCTGGTGAGCCACGGTTTTCTTGTCTCTTCGACACTGAAGAGCACGCGTCCCGAACGCACGGACATTCTCTTTCCCAACTGACGGACCGGACTCGAACGAGAGTCCGCAGCGCGATAGGATTAACCCATTATACGGGGACCATCGGTTTGAACACCGACCCGCAACTTTACTCGCGGAATTCCATCGAGAAACGACGGATTTCCGACCTCGGACGAAGTGCAACCGACCAGAACCGACACCGACGCCGACACCGGTAAAGTCACGGTTTAGGTCGATTTTAGCCGTAACTAGGTCGGCTTTCAACTTTCTGACCGTAGAAAACTATTTCTAACGGTTAAATTTTATTTTCTAACGGTGAAAAAGTAAATTTTGACGGAGAATCCGAACTCAAAACTTTACTTTTGGTCGAGAAC